TTAAGGACTGACACGACCCAAGTGAAAAATTCCAGACCTGACCTCAGATGATGGAAGGTCATTACAGAGGTGCACTGAACATATTGCATGAAATGACTTGTGGTCTACACGTAGAAGTTGTGGAGTGTGTACGTAACATAAATGAATTCCATATTCCATCTTTAGACTTGAGTCCTATCCCAGGCTATCTCATCGAAGATATACAAATACTCTACAATCCAGAAACATATGAAATCCAAAACACTTCCATCCCCAAACATTTTTGGAGAAGGAAAACTCAGTCTTCGAATAGAAAGCAATGTGACTCTCACTGGGGTCTGTTTCTGACCTGGGACAGACAGCTCAGTGGGTACTTGATTAAAGAAGCGCTAAGCTAGGCCGAAAGCACTTACTTTCACTGCCACTGGGATGAGATGGTCTGACTTAGGTGGAGGACCAGGAACCTGAGATATACGCACTTCTGACCTACCAAGGTCAGCTTTAGGAAGAAGCAGCTTTTCTATAAATGCTTCGTCGGCAAGATTTTCTGAAAGCTTCCAGTCTTTCATAAAGGACTCTCTCTGCATCCCGATTGCCCTGGTTCCTGGAACAGAAAGCTCCCCCAGTCTCCAGATTCTGTCCTTCTCCAGCAAGGAAATACTAGCAAACGCTTTGTACACTTGTGCCACACAACCCGAACCCACAGGTTCCCGGGTCTCGAAAAGGAGGAGGCTTCCCCAATCCTCCCCAAAAGCCTGCTGAAGTAAGTATTCCGTCCTTGCCCAAGGGTGGGGGGTCACCTGGACATGCAGCTTGGAGAACTGGGCACAGAAAGCCTCTGAAAAGAGATCGCGCCGGGTGCTGGCCCATTGGCCCAATTTGATATATGTTGGGCCTGAGGTCTCTGTAGCTTTGAAAAGCAGATGGAGCCAGAGGGTGGAGAGGCCAGGGGCCAGGTAGGTGAGAGGGTACAAGAAGAGGAGGGGGAAGAATTTCGCCAAGAGCACACCAGCGCGGAGCCCTAGGCGGAGACACAGTAAGACGCGGGTCAGGGGCCCTTCTTGGGCCACCTTCTCCACTAGTCCATTTTCAGCCAGGTCACTCCAGTGAGTCTTTCTCTGGCACAAGGGGCCAGGCGCCCCCTCTCCAGCACTGCCATGGGCTGAAATGAATTTGGGCAAAGTACCTAGCAGAAACCAACATAGTCTGGCATTGCGAGAGCATCCCAGGGGTCTGGAAAACCCAAGTTCCTTTCTGAACTCAAAGCATCTTAAGTGTGACAAGCAGACCCTGACAGACAAACGCCACGGGGTCACCATCCTCTCCAGACCCCCGGGCCTAGGCTGCTTGCCCTCTACCTAAAGGGAAGCCATTGTGGAGACGCTCCGTGGCGAAGCGGGGATGTGTCTGACCGCGCCCCCCAGCGCAGCTCAGAAGGAGAGCGGGGAACGGGGACCTGAGCCGGGGACCATGAATGACAAGCTGTCCAGCGCCAGAGCTCAGAGTGCCGGGAGTCACCGAGCGCCAGGGATGAAGATGCAGACCCGCGGCCTAGAGCGGACGGCGAGGCCTTAGAGAGCCGCGGGAAGACCGGAGAGGAGCGCTCCGGCGGGCGCACGGTCCAGGCTCCCGACGGGCAGCGGAGAAGCCAGCCCGACCGCTCCGGGCCAGCACGGAGCGAGGAGTCACAGCCAGGCAGGGCACTGAGCGTCCAGAGCAGCGCTGCTCCCGGCTTCCGGTACCTGGGCCCGCCCTCTCTGCTCACGACACGCTCCTTAAAGGGGCCGCGGCGCGAACCAGGGCAAAAGCGCCTGGGCGCACCGAGTCCCTGTCGGGATTTAGAGCAAAACACAGAAGCGAGCTCTGTAGCCCTCTTTTCCGCGTCTGCCTCTCCTCTTCACAGCTTAAATCCTAGAAATATTAAACTACACAGTATATTGCAGGTGGGTCCAAAGGAAGGCGAAATTTTCAGCTGCTGGGTGCAGGTCCAGTTTCTTGAGTCTCAGGCTGCACTGACTTAGCGGTAGTGTTTAGACCTAAGCGAATGGCTTATACAGTTACATAATATTGAGCCAAATCAGATTTTCTTGCAGATAGTCTAATATTTCTTGAACCATAATAATATGTACTAAACTAGATAGGTAACAATACTTTCTGTCAAGCCCGACAAAATAAATGAGTTCCATCCCTAGACTCTACATGAAGGAAAGAGATCACCAATTCTTTTAAGTCGTGTCCCCCACATACAAAATAAATGTGATAAAAATTAAAATGTAGCAAGGACCACGGAAGCAGCGAGGAGCAGGTAGTATACCATAAGGCGGGGCTACTTTGGAGAAGAAGGGTGTTGGGAGAGAGGACAAGTGAAAACTCCAAGGTAGGAAAGATTTGATGTTCTGAGACGCGTGTGCGTGTGCGTGTGCGTGTGCGTGTGTGTGTGTTGGACAGCCCTATGCTTGTGGGGTTGTGGGGGAGGTGGAGTTGATAGGAGGTGATAGAGCATAGGAACTGAGCCTACACAGCCAGGGAAGGGCTTGCAATTTCGTCTCAGCTCTCTAGGAATTATAAGGCCACCTGCCCTGGAGCGCCACAGTCCCTATACCTGTCAACAGCTTTTGTCCATGTGTGGAAAGAAATTTGCACAAAAGTCTGGCCAAGGGTAATTTAAAGGCATCACGGGTGAAAAGGATTATGGGGAAAAGAGAAACAAGGACAAGGCCCAGGGTTCCTATCACTGGACATGTCACTCAACCTTAAGACACACACACCCCCAGGCCATCCAGAAGGCTCAGAAGATAAAGTAATTTCCCCAAATGTAGAATCAGGGCCACTAATACACAGGAATGGAGGAGTGGCCAATGGCTCTTCCTGTATGGTCAATAACAACCCAGATCCTAACTCTAAAATATGGGTTACATCCTTTGGGCTTCCCAAGGCTGACATGCTTTGTACTGCTTTGGATTGTGGTCAGGTGCCAGGCATGGTGACCCAGACTTTCAGTTCCAGTAGAAAGGCAGGAAGAGGCAGAATCTTTGTGAGTTGGAAGTCAGCCTGCTCTGTATAGCTAGCTCCAGGCCAACAGGGACTACATAGTGAGGCCTGTTTCAAAAAAACAAGGTAGGAGTTTGGAGAGAGATGGCTCAGTGGTTAAGAGCACTGGTTGCTCTTGTAAAGGCTCTGAGTTCAGTTCTCCGCACCCACATGGTGGTTTGTAGCCATCCCTAACTTACCTGCTCCAGAGGGATCTGTGCTCAAATCCACATACAGGCAAAACACTCACACATAATATAAAATAAATGAATCTATCTAGCTGGGCGGTGGTGGCGCACGCCTTTAACCCCAGCATTTGGGAGGTGGAGACAGGCGGATTTCTGAGTTTGAGGCCAGCCTGGTCTACAGAGTGAGTTCCAGGACAGCCAGGGCTACACAGAGAAACCCTGTCTCGAAAAAACAAATAAATAAACAAATAAATAAATAAATCTAATAAGAAATTTTAGAAAAGAAATGTGGCCAGGCACTAATCACTAAGTTTTCCCTTTCTCCTGCCTCATTTGCCTGTTCTGTCCCAAAGTTGTTCACAGAAGATTGAATAGTTCTGAGTACATCATTTTAAGACATGGTACCTTCTAGTGTGACCCCAGACAAGTTTTTCTGGATCTTTATTTCTCCAAAAAGGACACAGGAGGGTGGACATGGGGAGAGAAATTCAACTAAAGTTAGACAAGATCCCCTAAAGCACTGTTTTTTAATCTTCCTAACGCTGCCTAGTGCTGGGCTTCCTAGTGCATAGGAGCCCAGCACTCAGGAGGTAGAGGAGGTAGAGGAGGCAGAATTCAAGGCCAGCCTGGTCTACATGGGGAGCTCCAGGCCAGTCAGGGATACAAGGTAAGACCCTCTCTCAAAAAGGGACAAAGAGTCCTGGAGAGATAGCTCAGCAGTTAAGAGGACCCAAGATCCATTCCCAGCACCCAAATAGCTGCTAACAACTATCTATAAATTCAATTCCATGGGATCCGTCGCGCTCTTCTGACTTCTGTGCATGCCTGATACATACATGTGGGCAACACACCCATACACATAAAATAAAATAATAGTTTAAAAAAGAAGACCCTCATTTGGGAGAGCTGGCCCTACCCCTTGTTTGAGCATGTGGGAGAGCTGACCAGGAGGGCATGAGGGCGGGAGAGCTGGCCAGCCTCTGGCCAGCTGTGGTGGTATGGTGGTTCGGAGTATGCCTAGCCCAGGGAGTGGCACTATTAGAAGGTGTGACCTTGTTGGAGTAGGCGTGCCACTGTGGGCTTGGGCTTTAAGACCCTCATCCTAGCTGCCTGGAAGCCAGTCTTCTGCTAGCAGCCTTCAGATGAAGATGTAGAACTCTCAGCTCCTCTTGCACCGTGCCTGCCTGGAGGCTGCCATGCTCCTGCCTTGATGATAATGAACTGAAACTCGGAACCTGTAAGCCAGCCTCAGTTAAATGTTGTCCTTATAAGACTTGCCTTGGTCATGGTGTCTGTTCACAGCAGTAAAAACCTAACTAAGACACAGGGACAGTGCTGGAGAGCTGTCAGGCTAACCAACTCAGCTACTACCCGGGTCCAGATCCAAGGCTTTGAGTTGGCCCACCCCAACATCTACCTCACCTATAAACTGCTGGAGTGTGGAAAGGGACTGGTCTTCCAGAACCAAGGCTGCAAGATCTCCATGACAACAGGCAACAACAGGATAGCAGAAAGAAGCCCCAGTGAGGATTGAGCATTTATAGTGTGCTGAAGGAGGAGGCCTCGACCTAGACCAATCACTCACTGGAGTGAACGTTTGCAAGAAAAGCTATTTGGACAAAAGAATATACTGTGTGACACACCGTGGCCTCCAAGGAGGAGGGGTTTGAATATGGAGGGATGAAGAGATAAGCAGAATTACGGGGTGTGAAATTCAAAAGGATCAATAAAAAGTAAGGAGGAGGAAGAGGAGGAGGAGGAAGAAAAAGAAGAGGAAGAAGAGGAAGCAGCAGCAGCAGCAAGCTGTATGTAATATGCTAATCTCCACAATTAGCAAACCTTATCGGGTTTTATCATCTTCACCTAAATAAAAGCAGAAGCAATTCTGTTTCTCCTTCCTCGTGCAACAGTCATGGAATAAGGACTGTAGGAAACCTCATCTGTTCTCTATTTTATTATTTAGAGTATTATCACCATTACTATTATTTCAAAACAAAGTTTTACTCCATAGCCCAGGTTGGGCTGGATCTCACGATAGGGCCAAGGTGGCCTCAAACTTCAGGTCTTCCTCCTTCTTCAGCTTTCCAAGTGCTTGGCCTATAATTGTAAGGCATCATGCCAAGCAGTTTTTTTGTTTTGTTTTGTTTTGTTTTGTTTTTAAGATAGGATTTCAAGTTTCTTGAGGCTGACTTCCATTTTGACATGTTCCGGAGGATAACCATGACTTTCTGGTCTTTCTGGCCTCTGCCTCCTGAGTACTGTGGTTAGGATTATGAGCATATGCCACCATTCCCAGTAGAAGAAAATCTCACCGGGCAGTGGTGGCGCACGCCTTTAATCCCAGCACTTGGGAGGCAGAGGCAAGCAGATTTCTGAGTTTGAGGCCAGCCTGGTCTACAGAGTGAGTTCCAGGACAGCCTGGGCTATACAGAGAAACCCTGTCTCAAAAAAAAAAAAAAGAAGATCTCATTTAAAATAAAGTCCTCAACCTGTCATAGTGTCACTTCAAATGCCTTTAATCCCAGCACTCTAGAGGCAGAGACAGACAGATCTCTGTGAGTTCCAGGCCAGCCCAGGCTACATAGTGAAACCCTGTCTAAGTCCTGCCAGGTAGACACAGAAGCCCACAAATGTAACCCAACACTTAGAAAGGCAAGTAGGAAGAACAAAAGTCCAAAACTAGCATGGGCACAAGAAACCCTACCCAGAAAGAAAGAAAGAAAGAAAGAAAGAAAGAAAGAAAGAAAGA